CCAATATTAATTCTTTTTATGAACTGAACTGTCATAAAACCTGAGTTATAAATTTTTAGGCCTTTGCTGCTATAGATGTAATGGATTGTCAATCACCGTAAGGATACAAAGATATTTAAGACATATCTGTGGTACAAATGAAGTCAGATCCTGTAGTGGTCAAGCTGAGCTGAATTTTACAAAGCTGCTGCCTAGAAGTATTTCATTACTTGGCTGCTTCATGTGTTTCCAAACTCTAAAAGACTACTCCTCTCTCCAAATAAAATTTGTCAGGGAACCTCAACACAAACCAAATAAATGCAGACTTCACCAACTGGATCAGGGCTGGGGCTTGGCTCCTTGAAACACAACTCAAAACACACCTGGTTTAATGCCAGAGGTCTGGGTACCTTCTCTTAAAGTGGTTTGGTGCTTGACAATATAACAATCAAATTGAATAGATTTAATTTTGATGCTCTTTATTACTGATAAAACATCAAAAATAATTGGTCTCAGATAACTAGGCAAACTGGAAATTAAATACTAGAGTGTATGGCTTGTATGTTTCATAACTCTGGGAGTTGACATCTGTACTTTAGAAGACCTTTAGATTATCTTGATATTTTTAGTTTATTTTGGCCAGAAGACATGAAAAGGGAGGAAAAAAAGACCTTTAATACGTGTGGTTGCCCCATGAGCAATGTTTGATATTAGAGAAGTAGAGAAGGAATAAAAGTACGGTCGGAAGCATTGTCTTTCTAGTTCTAGCTTTTTATTTTTTAGTTTCTGTTGATTTTAAAAGAAATCCAGTAACTGCTTTCTACAGTGCCTCCAGAGGATAATATATGGAGAGTAGGGAGCTACCCCATTTATTTTTAGAAAAACTGGTTGCAGTTAGGGAAAAACTGTTTTAGTCTCTTTTAATCCTGTATATGAGTTTTTGTTTGTTTGTTTGTTTGTTTTTTCTTCACACCTCTTTATTCCTGTAAGAGACTCATACAACCCTAGCTGGAACACTGGACTAGAAGTCCAGAAAGAGTGGCTGCTGTCACTGTTGTGGTCCTCACCTAGGGAGCAGCCAGAGCTGCACCACTCCAGTCAACTCTACCTTCTTCAGCACACAGAGCAAGTGCTGGTGGTGGCGTCACAGTGACCTTCAGAGTATATTTACTGGCTAGCAGGACTTTTTCCCTAGTAGCTCTAGCTTTGCCAGCAGATATCAAAGATGAACTGCCCAATAAACAGATGTAGGAGCAGGAGCCTATGGACTCTTTTTAAAATAAGGAGACACCCTCTCTGAAAAGATAGTCATCCCTTAAAACCTTGTTTATTCATAGGCCAGTGTTATATGTCCACAATTTTTAGTATGACTTTTCCTCCCTGTGGGAATTTCTATCTCAAGCTGGAGACATAAAGCAAATCTGGAGAGGCAGTTCTATTTGGGTATGGAAGGCAGCCGAAGGAAACCTGGCATATGGCAGCACTATATTAGTTTGCTGGTCCTGGTCTCAGCACCAGGTAGTTACGTGCACCCACCTTTGCCTAAAGTAGGGGTACCCTAAAACTATTGACCACTGGGGTGACTAGAGGTGGACTCATCAAATAGGCTATCGGGTACCTTAAGCATCACACATATTTTTACTTGGAACACCTGCTTCGTACCAGCTCTATGCTATGTCATGCAGGGTGCTAGCCACAAGGAGTTTTGTGTTTTTTCATCTCCCCAGCCATGATCATACAATGTGGACCATGTGTAATTAAGCACTAAATTGTATGGTGCATGCAAAAATCAATACCCCCTAAAATTCTTGAGTAAGAATTTTAAGTACTATATGTTATAGAAACATAAAAATTTCTATCTGGCTAGGCACAGTGCCTAAGGCATTTGACTGCTAACCAGAAGGCTGGTGGTTCAAACCCACCAACCACTCCTCGGAAGGAACACTGGGCAATCTACTTCCATAGAGATACTGCCTCTGAAATCCATTGAGGGGTTGCTATGAGTCAAATCGACTCGACAACAGTGCATTTTTTTTTTTTTTTTTTTATGTTTCATAGATATGGATGCTGAAATTAAGGTTAGGATATATTCATGGTAGAAGCCCCAGCCCCTAAAATATACAGCTAATTGGACATGTGGGATATTGTGTGTTCTTGTTTTGGTTACCTAGTGCTGCTCTGACAAGAAAAATATACCATAAATGGGATGCCTTTAACAAACAAGAATTTATTCTCTTTCAGTTTGGAGGCTTTTAAGTCTGAGTTCAAAGTGCTCTAGGGGCTGGATGAAAGCCCCTCAATGTTGGGGTCCAGCTCTGCCTTCTGCTCCCAGCCCACTGAAGCTAGAGGCTTTTCTTTACTCAGATAGCTACTGACTGCCGAGACTGACAAGCCCAAGGTTGACAAAAAGGCACAGTCCTGATGTTACCAAACCACACAGCAGGCCATTCATTTGAGTCCATTGAAAGTATCAAGGTTGGCAGAGAGGTAGGCTGCTGAACAGCAACATGGCTACATGTAGGGTTCAAGTGTGTCGTAAGCTAGAGACCATTCCCAAAGCTGTTTCTTATATACAGGAAGCAGACCACATCCCTAAGGCAGCTACTCAGCTGCTCACAGTAGATCACTATGGAGTTGATTACCAGTCTCATCATGGGGAATACTATATCCATTTGCCTGGCTACTCAACCAGGCTCAGCCAAGTTGACACACAAACTTAACTGCTGAAATTAAGGTTAGGATATATTCATGTTGGAAGCCCCCACACCCAAAACGTACAGCTAATTGAACATGTGGAATAGTATGTGTCCTCATTTCCTTAGCACAATGCATGGCACAAGATAGTTGCTTGGATATTTGCTGTCACTGACCCTTAGCTTTTTCATCCATGAAATTCTTTAGTGACCTTGAATTGCCCATTTCTTATCTAGGACTTCAGACTATAATGTTGTCAAGTGAATTTCAGGAAACTGGTGTTGAGATATTTTACTGGATGATTTTAGGTTACTTACTCTGGCTGCTCTGGTGGCATAGTGCCTCAGGCATTTGACTGCTAACCAGAATTCTAGCGGTTCAAACCCACCAGCCACTCCTCTGAAGGAAGGGTGGGCAATCAACTTCCATAGTGATACCGCCTCGGAAATCCAAGGAGGGGTTGCTATGAGTCGGATCTGACTCCATGGCAGTTTGGTGGTTTGGATTCTGGCTGCAGTGATGGGCTCAGGTATAGTAGGGATCACGAGGCTGGCACAGGATCAGGCAGTGTTTCGTTTTGTTGTACATAGGTTGCTATGAGTCAGAGATGACTCAACGGCACGTAACAACAACAGCAACAACATTCTGTTATATAGAGGAACTCTGGTGGTATAGTGGTTAAAGCCATACCACTGCTAACCGAAAGGTTGGTGGTTTGAACCCACCAGCTGCTCCACAGGAGAAAAATGAGGCAGTTTGCTTTTGTAAAGATTCACAGCCTTGGAAACCCTATGGGGCAGCTCTCCTCTGTCCTACAGTGTCACTGTGGGTTGGAATTGACTCAATGGCAGTAGGTTTGGGTTTTTTGTTTGTTTGTTTTGGTATTCTCTTATGTATAGCATGGAGACCCAGCATAACACCAATAACATTGGGAAAGATCAGAAAACACCTTACAGGTTTTTGAAATTCCAGTATCTATTGGATGCTTGGATTCTGCTACAAGAGTGATTAGTCATGAAACTAAAAGATTAGACCTCATATACCATTTTGAAGCTCACTAGCTTATAAACTGAGGCATTAGCTACAAATGAGATGCTACAGATTTATTGTAATTCCTTATTAGCATTTATTGAGCACTAAAGGTGGAGTAGTGCATAAGGCATTTGACTGCTAACCAGAAAGCTGGTGTTTTAAACCCACCAGCCACTCCTCGGAAGGAAGAGTGGGCAATCAATCTACTTCCATAGTGATACGGCCTTAGAAACCCAAGGAGAGGTTGCTGTGAGTCAGATCTTACTCGACGGCAGTGAGTTTTGGTTTTTTGGGTTTAATTATGTGCTTGGAGTCTTTGGGTGGTATAAACAGTTAAGTGCCTGACCGCTAGTTGAAAAGTTGGTGGTTTAAACCCACACAGAGGCAAATTGGAAGACATGCCTGGTGATCTGCTTCTGAAAAGTCACTGCCTTGAATGCCCTATGGAGCAGTTCTACTCTGCACACATGGGGCTGCCATAAGCAGGATTTAACTTCACAGCAACTAACAATTGTGTACCTGGTGCCAACTGCTTTCTGAGGGCACTGAGGCATGGATTTATGGTAACTTAACAGAGGTGCAGGAGCTCTGGTAGCTTAGTGGATAAGGCATTTGGCTGCTAACTAGGTCAGCAGTTCAAACCCACTAGCCACTCCATAGCATAGTGCCTAAGGCACTTGACTGTTAACCAGAAGACTGGTGGTTCAAACCCACCAGCCACTCCTTGGAAGAAAGATGGGGCAATCTACTTCTGTAGTGATACTGCCTCAGAAACCCAAGGAGGGGTCGCTATGAGTCGGGTCCAACTCGACGGCAAATAACAACAACAACAGCCACTCCATGGATGGAAGATGGGGCAACATACTTCCATAAAGATTTACAACCTCAGAAACCCAAGGCAGGTCAATCTGAGTCAGCATCAACTTGGTGGCAGTGAGTTTGGTTTGGTTTGGGTTAACAGCTATCTCACCCTAAGTTTTTGTTCTAGATGTAACTGTAGGTGGCATTTTAAATGCATTTCTGTGTAACAGCTGGCATTTTTAGAGTTCTCACCATATGCCCGACCCTGACTCTGATCCTCACAGCAACTCTACCAGGTATGTATCATGGCCCCCATTTTAGAGATGAGTCATCTGGGGCTCCGAAGTTCTGTAACTTCTCCAAATTACAACAGGATTTCCACTCAAGTGTACCTGATTATGGAGTACTGGTGTTAATTAGCCACCTATGACTTGATACATGTTTTGGAATGCTTAGTTCTGGATATTTGTCATTTTCTCAACAGACTCAACAAAATGAAACCAGGAGGTATTTGGTTGCATCTCACACTGCTTGGGGCCTCCCTGCCAGCTGTGCTGGGATGGATGGACCCAGGAACCAGCAGAGACAAGAATGTGGGCATGGAGGCGTCACAGACTGAGGTATAGTCATATAATGGCTGATTAAACATTTCGTACTGATTGCTTTTCAGTGTGACAGCTATCTGATTTCCCTTCTACCTTTCGTTTAAAAGAATTAGATGGCAGACTGGATTAAAACTGCACCCCCTTTTGGTAAGGAACAAAAAGAAGCAATGTGTTGATACAGATAGAAGCTTTATATCATGATGTAGTGGCTCTAAAGTCTCTCAAATGCTGCAAATGTATTCCAAAACCAAGCTTTAGTTAGTGGTTTGTCTTCCACAAAGACCCTCCAGAGAATGATCTTTCTGTATATTTAATAAAACTCTGAAAATGCAAACTAATTGGTGGAGCACACCCATGTGAATTAATGAAGTATTTTAATTATAAAATACATTTTAAAAGCAACGGACTCCTTTTCAGGTATATAGATAAAAAGAATCTGGCTAAGGAAGAACTGGCAAGTAGGGGTCCTAAGGGAGCTTGCTTTAATGAACAGATAAGAATGATTAATGGCATGCTAGGTTTATATAAATGCTTCTAAAGTGCTTGAAAAACTTGTTCTCAAATACTTCCCTGGAGATGCTCAATATACTGCTAATTGCTGAGTGAACTCTGGCCTTAAATACTGAAGAGGATTCGTAAACTGCAGGTAGTAAGACTACTTGCCTTTGAGTTGATTCCAATTCTTGGAGACCCATGTGTGTCAGAGTAGAGGGTTTTCATTGGCTGATTTTTTGATAGTAGATTGCCAGATCTTTCTTCTAAGATACCTACCTATGGGTAGACTCGAACCTCCAACCTGTAGTAGGTTCCATGAATTTGAGGGTCACAAGAGATGAAGTTTTGTTGCAGAAAATGTTTTGCATATGCCGAACCTTGGGAAATGACTGTACCCTTTCAGTAAAGCCACCTACGATTTTCTTTGTTGTTGTTGTTATGTGCTGTCAAGTCGGACCCGACTCATGGTGAGCCCTCCTTGGGTTTCTGAGGAAGTATCACTACAGAAGTAGATTGCCCCATCTTCCTTCCGAGGAGTGGCTGGTGGATTTGAACTCCCAGCCTTCTGATTAACAGTCAAGTGCCTTAACCACTATGCTACCAGAGCTCCCTTCTTTATGATGTGGTAATTACTAATTCTTAGCAGAGAGCTTCTCAGGACCTTTTTACTTCCATTGTCTTCCTTATTTATATACCCTTCTCCTTTCTCTGTATCTATATCCTGTCCTGTGGAATGAGAAAGAAAAAACTACCTCAAAAAGTCAACATTACCAGAGAATGAATACAGATATGCTGATATACCATGTATGGTAGGATTAGTGCATTATTTGATCAAAAGACACGATTTCACTTTCATTATTACTTAATTGTAATGCAATCCCAAACCTACAAGCCTTAATCTTCTGGGAGCTTCAGAAGTAATTTAATGTGCACCATTGCTGCTGAAGTTAGTGTGGCTTCCTTTGTGGTGAGCAGATGATTAAATAGAAACACTATCTCTACCATCTAAATCCATGAAGGACGCAACTTAATGCTCTTTTGAAAGAGCCTGGAGGCTGCCTTGCTATCAAGAACAGCATTTCCCATATGGGAATGGCTTACTTATATCCATATAGAGGGAAAAATGATCACTTAAAGCCTATACATATATTACTGAATATTTAATAGCCAAGCAAACAGGCAAACACACAGGTATGCTTACTTTGTCTTCTGACTGTTGGGACTAGTTGGCCCACTGTTTTAAATCACTTATTTCAATTAAAAAGAGTCAAATCAATTAAGGTGGGATTTAGCTGGAGGTAAATTGAAGGTAAGTTAATATCAACCTAGGGCCTTTTTATCTTAGCTGTTAACACCCTAATACTTTGTGCACCAACAAGAAAGAGCAGATGTTGCTCATTCTGAAGAAGTAAGGTGTTTTGTTTGTGCTTTTTTACTTTGCCTGTTGTTTTGCTTCCCCCTTGCTTCCCTGCACCCACCCCCCCATGAGAACAGAGCCCAGGAGATGCCATTGTTTCCCAAGTTCAGGAATTTTGCTGCTTCAGGGAAAGGAAGTGATGACTCTGCAGATTCCAGAACAACTGCCCTATTGATCAAATTTTCTTTGCTATAGACTTGTGTTTTTGCAGAGTGTTATAAGTTCTATTCATTGAATCAGCTGATATCAATGATTAAATGAGCTCATGATAATGTTAATGGGTCTCATACACAGGACTGATTCAGTAAATGTTTAGAGTGGGACATTTATTTTTCTCCAGAGCTGCCTTTAACCATTCTTGGTCACATTTGGTTTTTCTCTGAACTCCTAGCCCTTTCTTTTTTTCTTTCTGCTTTTATATTTTTGTTTAACTTATGATGAAGCCCATCATATTTATCTTTTTCTTCCTCACAGTGTCTACTAAATTTATCAGCAAAATAGAAGCTCAATGTATTAAGTCAGTCAGTACTTAACATGAAATTCGGTACTGGTTGTACAGGTACCCTGGGACTTTCAAATTCAGACTAGATCATCAAGTTATGACATAGCTCCCTGTATAGTAGGTGCATTTCCAATGGGGCACATGAATGGTCTCCTTGGAAATCATGTAAACAGCTTGCAGGCCAGCCTGGGCTTGTGTTTCCTTAACATTGAGGATAGTTCTTTTGTGTAGTTGATCATTGATAGTTTCTTCTGCGAGTCGTAGTTACTAATACATCCATAAATCACTGTCTAAAACATATTAAACTGCTCTAGCAGTTTCCCTGGACAGTTTGATTTTCTAGGAGAATTAACAGCAACAGAATTCCTGACACTATCAATAGATTTAAAACTAAGTTCCAAAACTAAATGTTAAAATGCTTCTGTGTGTGTTTTCTTCCTGATAGTAATACTTTACAAAATATTCAGTGACTTGAAACTTTTTTTTTTTTTTTCACTTTAAAGCACTTGGAAAACATAATTAAGACTTGATTTGCCTTCAAAGTTGTTAAACCAATTACTTGAGTGCCCTAAGGATAAATAAGGATTAAATGACCAATGTGTTTGTATTTGTAGATTTTTTAAAGCAATTATAGCAAGAGGAGATTTGGTTAAATCATTGTTTTATGTACAAAGACTGCAGTTGAAGTAGCTTGGAGGAGTTTACCACTTTACAAAGGTAGATAAAAGAAAAGTAGCTGGGTGGAGTGCCTCTTTAATAAGAGTTAGGAGTGGTAGAATGTGGCCTAGAATACTAATGCAATTCCGAATTCTGAGGAAACAATTCTGAGAGAAATACTTTATTAGAATTCTGAAATATAGTTGTATATTCTGTTTTCCCCTACATTGTTGTTGTTGTAAACTGCTGTGGGTGGGCTGTGCCTCATGGCTGCCTTGTATAGAATAGAACAAAATGTTGCTCAGTCCTGTCTCATCTTCTGATTATCATTAGTATATTTGAGTCCATTGTGGCTGTTTTCTCAATCCATCCCATTGAGAGTTTCTTTCATTTTTGCTGATCCTCTATTTCACCAACCATGATGTCCTGTTCTAGTTATTGATCTTTCCTGATGAAAGTAAGCGAGCCTAAGTCTTGCTATCCTCCCTCATTTCTAAGGAACATTTTAGTTCTATTTCTTCTAAGCCTGATTTGTTCATTCTTCTGGCAGTCCATCGTATATTCGATAGTCTTTGCCAACTCCACAATTTGAATAAGTAAGTTTTTCTGTTTCCTTTTTTCATTGCCCAGCTTTTGCATGCATATACTCTGGCAAAATACAGTAATAAAATCAGTATTTGTGGAATTTTACATTTTGGGGAACCAGGAAAGAAGGTAGTACCCCCAGAGAGCCTCGTAAGGGCCAGATGTTTGCTGGAGAGGCCCTTTCTTTGGGGGCTGTGCTCCAGCACCAGTGTTTGACCAACTTACTGGGCCTCTGGGATTGAATGGTGGTCATCGCAAGCCTCATTCATGCATTTTACTAAAGTGTTTCCAAATTATTCTTGTCTATACTATCTAGTCATGTACTAAAACCATACATATATGTTACCATTACTTCCTTTGAAAATTATTAGCATCATATCATGTCATATCACTGCTTACTGACCAGAGGTGTGCTTTGAAGTCACACACTGTGTTTTCAATATTTGCAAACTCTCATAGGAAAATCTTGGAGGCAAAAATATTAAGGTGGTACGAGTTAACCTAAATACTATTCCCCTCCTCTCTAACCCCAAGGGTTAGCCAGAGAAAGCAATGATCCTACTCTGGCTGACTGTCTTTTCTTCATTTTACAAGTGGCCCCAGATTACAGACATAGACATTCCTGCTCCTGCAAGAGCAGCTTCCTCTATTTCTTTTAAAAATTTATTTTTGTTGTTGTTGTTGAAATTACACATAGTAGAACATACACCAGTTCAACAATTTCTACATGTACAATTCAGTGACATTGATCATAGTTTTCAAATTGTGCACCCATTTTCACACTTCTTTTCTGAATTGCTCCTCCCCCATAAACATGAATTCATTGCCTGCTAAGTCTCCCAGCTAATCTTTTGAGTTGCTGTTGTCAATTTGAACCCATATTTACAGATCTTTCAAAGAGCACAGTATAAGATTGTGCTAATGGTGAAGCTGGGAACACTGATAGCATAGTGTCTAAGGCACTTGACTGCTAACCCGAAGGCTGGTGGTTCAAACCCACCAGCCATTCGTCGGAAGGAAGATAGGGCAATCTACTTCTGTAGTGATACTGTCTCAGAAACCCAAGGAGGGATTGCTATGAGTTGGGTCCCACTCGATGGCACCTTATAACAACAATAACAACAATGGTGAAGCGCATAAATGGTCCCTGACTTATACTGGCTTTCGTTGGGCATTCAGGAATACTGGGGTTGCTAAGTGGTTGTTTGCTGCCACTGAGTCAGCCCCTAACTCCTGGCAACCTCATGCACAATGGAGTATAACACTGCTCTATTTTGCACCATCCTCACGATTGGCTGTGGATCTGACCATGTGATCAATAAGTTTTTCAGTGGCTGTTTTTTTTTTTTTTTTTATTTT